AAGTAAATCAAAAGCGCTCATTGAAAAGTCATTGATTTCTGTGTTTTATTTTTGAAATTTATACAAATTGAGTGTCCATTAATGTTAACAACTTCTCTGCAAGGCACGACAGGGCATGCTGAGAAGTGCCTTGTCTTCAAGGGATGTAGGGTTTAGTGGGAGAGATATAAAGCAGCATACAATTAAGTGCTAAATGAGTGGAACTATAAGTGCCCTAGGCTGTTCAAAACCTAGATGCATGGATCTGGAGTTGTCATAGAAGATTTTAGGAGGCAGGTGAAGGGGTTTGGTTTTCCAAGTAAGGCAGTTGGGCCCACCATGGTAAACCTAGTGGTTAAAGTCCTTGCTAGTATCCCTGCTGCTTCACTTTCCCATTCCCTGGTAGGCTGGGAAAGTAGTCGAGGACAGCCCAAAGCCTTGGAAGCCTGCACCCGCATGGGAGACCCAGAAGAAGCTCCTGGCTTCAGATCAGCTCAGCTCCAGTCATTGTGACTACTTTGGGAATGAAGCAGTAGACGGAAGCTCTTTCTCTCTGCCTCTCCTTCTTTCTGTATATCTACTTTTTCCAAAAAAAAAAAAAAAAACCTTAAAGAAAAAAATAAGAACAACGAAGTAAGGCAGTTACTGTTAGTAAGAGTGTAAGGCAGATGTAATAAGTGGGTGGGCTAATGACTATAAAGAATTAAATAATTAAGAATGCTGATAGTCACTGATGAAAAGGTTTCGTGCTGAGCAGGTGCAGTTAAGGCAGAGAAGATAGTGACTCAGATTGTGGGGGAGCCTGAACCCCTGGCTCAGGAACGCACTGTTAGCCTTGTAGGTGACTGAAGGGAATTAAAGGCTTTTAAGAGAAATGAATCAGGGAGATTAAATCGTTGATGGGAGGTGGAATGGTTTCAAAGAGGATTGATGGCCGTAAGAGCTCTTGGGTATGGCTTGAGGAGGACGTCTGCTAGGATGGTTGATAAGGAGAAAGTAGAGTCGACGCATCCGTGGGGGAGGGCGCAGGTGGGTCCACGTTGGAGCCTAGTTGGAGAGATCCATTTCGCTATGAGGAAGAGGAGCCGGTTTTGAGGGAATACAGCACTACTTGCTGCATCTGGGTTGTGCCCAAGCTCCCAGGGCCGTGATGCCTGACGTGGGTCCCTGTCAGAGCCACTGGCCAGAGCTGCAGCGTGTACTCCCAGGTCCTGCAGAGGGCTTGGGCACACTCGGAACGGTTTGTACAGTCGGCTTTGTCCCCTCCAGGAAGGAGACAGGACTTACTAGAGGATGTACTCAGTCCTCGAGGGGCCAATGAGCTGGTCAGGAAACATAATTGTGATAGGATTAGCCGAAAGATGGCTGGTGCTTTGGTAATATGTCGTGGCTGCTAACTTTGACATGCTAAGTGTCACATTAAGCATGGCTTTTCTGTGTGGTGAAGAGGGTTAACATTTAGCAAATAAGATCTCTGGATTTTTCTCTTGCTGCTTTGTGTGATAAGTATGACAGAGACTGTTACCTGGGGCAAACCGTTCAACCTCTCTGTGCTTTGGCTTCCTGTTTATGAAATAGGAAGCTTGTTGTGGCAGCATTTATAAACATTTCTGAAAGCCACAGTTAAAAAGCACGGCAGGGACCCATGCTCCCCCCTCTCCCCCCCATGCCTGACTCAGTCATTTGCAAAGGTCAGCCTTGTTCATTGGATTCTTTCAATCACTAACTCCCCCAAGTCCATTTGTTCAGCATTGTTTCCTAAAATGCTTCTAGTCAGTTGCGAGCTGAAAGATGAAATCTGCCACTGCTTTTTCTACCTTGTGGGCCTGCCCATCCTGCTGACTCTTCATCACCCAGGAGCTGTTGCCGTGTGATTCTGGTCTCTAGGCTCTGGGTTGGATCCTGGCCATATTGCAGGGGAATTAGAGATCAGTACAAACCCATAAGGCAACCTGGCTCAGAGTGAAATCTAGGCAGAGAGCTCTCTTGTTTAGTTTGTCTCGTGCTGTCTTTCACATGTTCAAAACATGCCCAGAGCATCAGCTTAAGGGCCTGAATCCTATTTATCTGTTCCTTGCAGGGACTGGAGTCCCCAGATGTCCCCTAAGACTGGGTCCCTGCTACTTGTGAAACTGCACATTTTTCTCAATGCTGCCATGATTTTCCAATGCTTGCCACGGTTGCCCCCAAGTTTGGCCTGCTCCTGGATGTCTTGAGGTGCCATTCCAGCTGTCCATCGGTTTATAACGTACATTCAGCCTGTTTCGGGGCTCCCCTCCTGGCCTGCTGCCGGTTCCATTCCCTCCAAATACGCTCTCCTGGCTGAACACTGATCATGCCAGCTGGATCTGCATTTTGTTTCACAAATATATCCAGTTCTGGTTTCCATGACTCCCCAGCCCCCTTCTTACTGTTAATCCTTTTATATGAAACCACTGTACATACTTGCTGGTGTGGAAACCGATGTGGTATTGGAATTTTATCCTTGTTTACATCTTTCTTTGTGCTGGAAAGCTTGGGATCAACTTCCAAAACCTCAGAGAGCTTGTTTGTCTCCAGGAGAAACAAATCAAACTTTACAGTGCCTCGCGTCATTATTCAATCTTAATTATGATTTTAGACATATCGTTGAGTATATTTTGGTAATCTATTCACCTAATTTCAAGGCATCTTTTTGGAACCTGGTGACTTCATGGTAAAAGAAGATAAATCAAGGCTGGGGACAGAGTTCTACAGTGATAGCCTTTAAGATACACCAGAATCTTCCAGAAAGCTTGTTAAAACAGATTGATGGGGTGGTTGTTTGACCTGGAAGTGAACATGCTGGTTAAGATGCTCGTCTCCCATACCTGAGTACCGGGATTTGACAGCTGGCTGCAAGTCCTGACTCTAGACTCCTGCTAATGCAGAACCTAGAATTAGCAGTCATGACTCTAATTTTGGGTCCCTGCCACCTCCCAAGGAGACCTGGATTGAGTTCCCGGCTCCTGGCTTCGACCCCAAGCACCCCGGGAGTGAACTAGCTGATGGGAGCTCAAGTAAGTAAATTAACTAAAAGCTTAAACTAACATCCAGTGATAGATTGCTCATCCCCACCACCCCCTCGCTCAGAGATTGTCTCAAGCCTAACAACGTACATTTAAAAAAAAAAAAAAAGATGTATGTGTTTGTTTAAAATCAGAGTCACAGGCAGAGGAGGAGAGACAGAGAGGTTGAATTTCCATCTGCTGGTTCACTCCCTAACTGGCCACAAGAACCAGAGCTGGGCCAGCTAAAGCCAGGAGTCAGGAGGGTTTGCTTTATCCGTGTGACCCAGGGTGGCAGCCAGGGGCGGGGGTTTGCAGGGTGCAGGAACCCCACCACTAGGGCCATTTTCCACTGGTTTTCCAGGTCATTAGCAGTGAGCTGGATAGCAAGTGGAGCAGCTGGGACTAGAACTGGTGCTCCTATGGGATGCCAGTGGCGCCGGCGGTGGTTTTACTCGCTTTGCCAAAACGCTGACCCTGAGAATTTGCATTTTGAACACACCTCCAATGATGTTGATGCCTGTACTCTGAGAAGCGGTCAGACATTAAAGTTGACCACAGGTAAGATAACCAGGGGCCACTGAACAGCTACTGATCAGCTCAAACTCTTTCCCAAGAGTGCTGACGAAGTTCAGTCCGTGAGGCTTGGATGAGAGATGGTGTCAGCAGCACGACTTTCGGCACCTTGGGCAATCACGGAGATTCCTTGAGCTTCGTTTCTTCATCGGTACCATAAAGACAGCTTCCACACCATTCTCACAAAGTGTTGCAAAGATCAAATAAAAGGGGTGTGTGAAAATGTCCAAACAGTACAATGGTACAGCACCGAGGAGGTATTTCAGTGGTTTTTTTTCTCTCTAACCATCATCCGTTTCTTTTGGCGCTCTTGCTTCCCTCATTAATTATAGCAACTTTAATCCGGGAATATAAAACACTTTTATAGCTACAATAAACTTCAAACTCCTTTAAAAATTTTCATTCAATGAGATCAGACATGCTTAATAAACATTACCCAGAGCCAAGCACGATTTGCAGCTTTTGCTGCTATAAAAAGAAAGGTACAAGACTCTATTCTAACTTGGGGTGCAGTCATAGTGAACCTTTCAACCTTGTTTAGAGGGGCCCATTGATAAAAAACGGCTACTAGTTACAACTTTCAAAGATAAGGGCAATGGACATGAGCTGTCTACCCCACCCATTCTTCCACCTTGTATTATTACTTCCTCTGTTTTTGGCAGATGCAAAGCCTCCCGGTCCTGGATGTGGCTTATTTTTCCCATTTCAGAGCCTCCAATTCCGTGCCAAGGACCAGCACCGTTCCTATTCAAACCGGGTATGTCTGAGTTTTGAACCGTGTCATCAGCCGTGCCTAACTCTTCCAGGACTTTGGGCCAACACCTCAGCTGTTAGAGATCTTTTAATAATAAACACCACTGTCAGCCAGGGTGCTTTTCTGAAGACAAGATGTATCGATTTCAAGTCAGAAAGACCCCGCTTAGGGGATGATGCTCAATGGACTTGCCTGGATGGTTTACCAAGGACCCCGGGTCCAGGCTCTGCGCAACCCCCGCCCCCGGCCCGGGAGGAGTCCACGCGTGCTTCTCCCGGGCGCCAGCAGGAGGCGCCCGCGGCAAGCGGCGGTGCACGCACCCGCGGGGAGCCGGCCCAGGGGGCGGAGAGGCGCCGAGAGGAGGAGGAGGAGGAGCCGGAGGGGGCGCGGCTTCCTCGGCGTCCCCGTCAGGCTCCGGGTCGCCTTCTCCGCCCGGCCCAGGGCGGCGGCCGGCGGGCGGTCGCGGCGGCGGCTGTGCCGAGGGGCGCTGGTGGGCCGCGGACGGCGGACGCTGGCTCGGCTGCGGCTGTGAGGAGACAAGATGGCGGCGGCGGCGCTCAGGAGGCCGGTCTCCTCCTCCTCCTCTTCGTCGTCGTCGTCGTCGTCGTCGCGCTCCTCCGCCCCGCCGCTCGCCGCCGCCTCCTCCTCCTCCTCCTGGGTCTCCTCCTCCCGGTTCGCTGCCTCCTGCTCCTCCTCCTCCTCCTCCTCCTGCGGCAGCACTAACGACCGCCGAGACGCCGGCCCGCTGTCCCGGGGCTGCGGAGGGGGCTAGACGGGGCGGCTGCAGGCTCCGGGGACCGAGGCCGAGCTGGGGCCGGGGCGGGGACGACGGCGACGGCGGCGGCGGAGGCGCCGGGTGGGGATGGGGTCGCAGACGCTGCAGATCCTCCGGCAGGGGGTGTGGGCCGCGCTCAGCGGGGGCTGGTACTACGACCCGCACCAGGCCACCTTCGTGAACGCGCTGCACCTCTACCTGTGGCTCTTTCTGCTCGGCCTGCCCTTCACCCTCTACATGGTGAGCTGTGGGGGCGGGGAGCGGGCTGGCACCTTCACCCCTACCCTGATCCCCCCACCCCGGGGTGGCCGGCGGGCGTCCCCCCTCCCCAGGCCAGGGCGCCCTCTCCCGTGCCCGGTGCGCGCGCTCCCGGGCTCTGCGTCCTCGCCCCCTCGGGGGGCACCCCGGAGCCTGGCGCCTGGCCTTGGGGCTCCCATCTCCACCCCCACTCGGGTTCCCCCTCGCACCCCCCGCACGCGCCCGACTCGGGGGGCTTCCCTGATTTTAGCACTGACTCCCAAATGGGAACCTGGGGGCTCCCCGCGCCCGCCGGCCTCGGCCCGTCTTCCTTGGGAAGCAGCGGCTTCTTGGGAAGGGGGGGGGTCCCCCTGCTCGGAGGGTGCTTAACTTGTAGGCTCTCGGTTCTCTGGGACCCCCGGCGTGGGCGGCTCGCAGGAGGGCGCCCCTCGCGTCCTGGGCACGCGGGAACCTCGGGTCGCCCCTCGCCCGGGGAAGGCTGCCTCGCGGCTCTGATGGGCGCGGGGGTGTCGGCGTTGCCGGGTGCTGGTGCTGGCTGCAAGCCTGGCCCTTCCGCGCCCTGCCCCTGGCAGTCATTGTTTGGCTGGCCACCCTGGCTCGGGGTGTGCTCGGGGTCAGTGGCCGTGGAGTTTCCAGGCCGACTTCGGGGCGGGGGGAGGGGAGAGCGCGGGCGAGACCTGGGGAATCTGGCTGGCATTTCAGCAGATTTGTTTGGGTTGGTTCAAGGCCTTCGCCTGATAGGAAGACGGAAAGTACTGCCTGTTGCTAAATTCAGTATGATTAGCGTGTCTCAGTGATCGATTTTTAAAAGCAGGATTGTCACCCAAAATTGTAAGCACGTTTTCTTTAAAAATTAAGGTTGTGTGTGTGTGTGTGTGTGTGTGTGTGTGTGTTGGGGGGGTGGTATAACATTAGGAAAACAAATGTGGAGAGAGGTGACACGTCTGAAGCTGAGGTTTTTAAAACATAATCAGAGAGGAAGTAAGGGTACTGGCTTTTTTTTATTTTAGGCGAATTTCTTTGAAAAGGGGCCTGCCAACTTTGCGTTTCTTCTTGGAGCTCGAGTGAGGGCGCCGAGTTAGGAAATGCTGGAACCCTTGGGACGGCACCCACGGTTCTCCCATCAGTGAAACTTAAGTTCGCTGATTGGGACACAGTTTCACACCCCCAGACTGAGCTAAAAACTCCGTTTAAAAAATGTTAATGACATATGGCTTATTTTATTAGGGAACCTGTTCAGTCTTGCCGCATTCTGAACATTTATCATGCGGTGTTATAATTTTCAATTACTTCTGGCCCAGGGAGTTCTCTTTGCACTGTGGAACCTTCCAGGAATGTGACATCATTAATGAACAGGTTAATTACGTTGGGTGTTAAGAGTGCTCTAGCTGTCAGAGCTCTCACAGCTGATTGTTCTTGTAGCCAGGAGAATTCCAGAATTGAAGCTGAAATAATTCTTGCGATTGTAGGATTAGTTGCCATGTCCCGGTGTGAGGTTTTTATGTTAGCACCTGCAGTTAAGCTGTGTGATCATGGCGGAGTCTGTCTGACTAGTGACATGACTAACGGAGTACTGAAGCACATGGAGGCCAGTTTGTTGAGTTTACCCTGTTTGATTTGAGGAGTTTATCGAGTTAACATTTGAGTGTCTGCTGACACTTTGCTGCTTTCAGGGAGAATGAAATTGCATCTCTGTCTTTGTCAGTGGTAGCTCATGGTAACTGCACTTCCCTAAACCTTTGCAGAGTTCGCCGTGCGCATGCAGCCGGCCAGCAGATCATGTGGGGGTCTGTGTTAAACCTGAGGTCCAGCTCACCATCAGCACTTGGTCCAGGCCCTCGTTCCAGGGTTTAAGAAGACCCACTGTTTCCATTATTCATTCTGTGCTCCCCGGCTTTAGTGGCCCTGCTGTGCGTTCAGAGCCTGCTCAGGGTCTCTGCCCAAGGCCTTTGCTGGTCAGCCCTGTTGGGATGGCTTCCCCTCTCCAGGTGTTGGAGTACGGGCTCCCTTTATTTATACGAGAGGTTTTCCCCATACCCTGTGTGAAACAGCCGGTCTCCAGCTTTACAAGGTACCACTGTCTTAGGCAGTGCAAATCATTGGCCAATAACTTGATTTGTTTAATGTGTTTATCTCGTTAGAATGTGAGTATTAATATGGCCAGGAGTTTGTTTATTCACTCTGTATTGTCAGGACCTAGGTCAGTGCCCAGATGCAGGGCCAGTGCTCCGTCAATGACAGATTCGAGTTGGACGAGGCACAGCTTCCTCCAGTGAGGGTGGCCTGGGTTAGTGAGCATCTGTAAGCAGTAGCCCCGACTGAGCGCCAGTCTGTATTGAGGGCGTGGGTTCTGGGTGGGGGTGTTGGGGAGGGTTGGTAAAGCACTTGTAAACATTTTACTGAAGTATTGAGGTGGTTTGGAATATCCACCTAAAATAAAAATAAATTCAGCAGTTGAAATTTCAGGCAGCAATAGATTAGCATTTGTAATGTTCTTCCAGTAACAATTACAAGTAATAGTTCCTATTTCTTCAGTGTGTGTATGGATTTTTCCTGTCAAATGCTGTGTCCTCATGAGGATTAGCCACCAGTGACTTGTTTTGTGACATGAGGCAGATAGCTGACGTGGGATTTGACACAGGGCCTTTGGAGACCAGGGAGCGCCTAGGCTGGGTGTTTTTGCTGAATGAGCCTGCCTCTGCATAGAGCCTCCACACTGAGTTAGGAAGTCTTAGGACTTTGCCTGGTTATGTTTTCATGGATACTTTGGAAGGTAGAATTTGTAGTTCCTACCATCCTGAAACTTCTAGGTAGTAGAAAATTTCTCTTACTGTCCTTTCATGTCCCTTAAGACTCTCACAAGATTTTCTAATTATTTTTGCACATGATGTGTCACAGATGGCGAGTTCTTTGGAGGTGGGTGTCTTTTCTTAGGATGGTGAGCTGGGATTGGTGTTATCTTTGATTTTTTAAATCTTTGTTCTGTTATTGATGATCTGTCCCATGGACAAGCTGCTCTTTCTGAACCTTGTGTATTTTGCAAGAGAATGTTTGTGAAATAGAGAAATTACCTTCAAAGTAGCCTTTGGTAAATGTCATTTCAAAAAATGATTTGTTAAGTGCAACGTTTCTTCTGTAATGCTTGTTTCCAGAGATTAGATAAATCTCTAATTGTCTAGCCATTATCATAGCATGTTGTTCAATATATTTTTTTCTTCTTCTTATAAAAGGAGTTGTATCTTGAGGTAATGAAATAGATCTTAAAAACTTTGCATTTACTGGAGTGGTTTTCACGTTCTAGTTGCCATCAGCATGGCTTGGCAGTCATTCGGATCCGGCGCTCTCACGTGTGGCCTCTGCGTTTGTGTTTCATACACACTCCAGGTCAGGATGCTGAGCTTCATCAACAGGCCACCGACTCCTATCCTCTGATGTAGATCCAGATACACTCTTGGCTATCCTACAGACACCTCAGAGTTATCAAGGCATAAACCCTGAATTCCCAGGACCCTCCCAGCCTCTCCCCACCCAGCCCTTTTTCTCTTTGTAATCGAGTCAGTGTCTCTTCCTTTTTGCCCATGCCATCCCCTTCAGCCTGTGAGCCAGTCTTCCCAGGATCTGAAACTTTGTTTCCTCACCTCTACTGCTTTAGTCTCCTTATATAGGCTTTTGGCTTCTGTTCCTACCCATGTCCAACTTTCTCCACAAAGTCAAAGACTTAAAAATGTTTTATTACTGCCCCGTGTTAATCTCTTCCAGTGACTTTCTTTACAAGCATAAAATCTCCCATTTTTACTAAGGCCGCTTTGCCTGTGTGTGTACTCAGTTTGCAGTTTCCCACTGTGCTGTAATTACACTGATATTCGTCCTTGTTTTTTTTTTTTTTTTTTTTTTTTTTAAGATTTATTTGTTTTTGTTGGAAAGACAGAGAGAAGGAGAGGCAGAGAGAAAGAGCTTCCATTCACTGACACTTCCCAAGTGGCCACAGTGGCTGGAGCTGAGCTGATCTGATATCAGGAGCCAGGAGCTTCTTCGGGTCTCCCACTTGGGTACAGGCTTCTAAGGCTTTTGGCATCCTGGACTGCTTTCCCAGCCCACCAGCAGGGAGCTGGCTGGGAAGTGGAGCAGCTGGGACATGGCCCGGTGGCCTTTTGGGATCCGGATGGTTGTAAAGCAAGGATTTAGCCGCTGAGCGACCACCCTAGGCCCTATGGTGTCTACTTTTTATTCCTTGTTTTCATTAGTTTCTGCAAGTGATTTTTATCATCTGTAGAACGTTAAAAACTTTACTAATGAGGTTTTTTTTTCCTTAGACCCTTAGATAATTTTCTTTCCCAAATATTTTAAAGGTTTTTATAAACAGGTTTTGAGTAAGATGGCTAAAACAGGAATGTTTATATTTTAAAATTTATTTTTTAAAGTTTTGAACTAAAAAACTTACAAATTAACAATTAAACATGCAGTTATTTAGTACTAAAGTATTTTCTGTGCCCTTAGGAAAGCAAAATAGTGGATGATGTGTTTTGATCTCTAAGTGTGCATTTTGAAAACTTATTTATTTAAAAATATTTAATTTATATTTATTGGAAAGTCAGATATACAAAAGAGGGTCTTGTCTGTGAAGCTGTCTTCCCATCATGAGGACAGTTTATTTATCAGAACTTGGAGACATTGCAAGGTTTCACCGATTGTCAGAAACCTTTCCTCTTATAAAATAAGGTCATGTTTTCACTTAAAAGAATGATAATTGCCTACTTCATCTTCTCATTTCATACTTAGTACTCTAGTAATGCTAAAGGATTACTGGTTTAAATTTTTCTCTGTGAATGCAGTGGAATCTTTTTTGTTCAAATATTCTGATTTATTTAGCCAACTGAACATTTACAGGTAAATAATCTACAATTCCATCACCATCTGTTGAACATTGCAGTCACCAAAATCTGGAACTATGAATATTAATTATACTTGTTTGTTTACAAAAA